ATAACTTGTTGCCAGCTGAAAGATAATCGCCCATGCAGTAATTATCCAATAGGAGGCTCGTACCTATTTGCTTAGTTAAATCCAGGTGGCGACTTTTTTTTGGCCAGGCAGTGTATGAATGAAACGTCATCAGTTGAAAGCGGAAAGAGAAGATCCACCGCCACTGTCGGAACTTCACAGTGTGACACCACCGGAAGTAAACAACACAAGCGCTGCTGGTAGCGTTAGCCGCACGCAGTGGTGAGCTAGCAGGAGGACGATATTGTCGTCGCAGTGAAGACAGTTATTTCAAAACAAATAACGCAACAATGGCTTCAGTTGAGTATTTGAGAGAGTTTGTCAACGAGAGACTAACTGCTGCTGCTGAAGAAATATTCGGAGTTTTTAAAACAACTATCGTCGAGTACGAGGAGGAGCTCAATCGTCAGCGCAGACTGCTGGAAAACGTCTGGAAACCTAAAACGAAGTTAAACAATACAGGTGAGTTAAACCTGAGCGATATTTAACAAACAGCAGAGGAATATAACTTACATATGACCCAAATGGTTTAAATACAGACTTGTATTTTCTGCTCAGATGTTTTTATGTCGTCACAATAGTGAATTCCTTTTGTTCTCAGTCCCTCCAGAGCCCACACAGCAACGTGCCTGTATGGTGGAGGAGGCTCTCGCTGACCAGCAGCGTTGTATTCAGGAGACGATCACCAGTCTGGACGAAGAGGACCCAGAGCCTCCACAGATTAAAGAGGAACAGGAGGAGCTCTGCACCAGTCAGGAGGGAGAGCAGCTTGAGCTGAAGGAGGAGACTGATGCCTTCATGTTGACTTCTTCTCATGAGGAAAGTGACCACAGTGATGATCTGACTCCATACATGAGTATCGATGAAGAAAAGCCTCATAGCTACACATCAGTTACAAGCTCTATGGTGTCAGAACCAAACATTTCCCACCATCCCCTCTCTCATAACCCCTATATGCCTGAGAGCCAGTATCAGACAGGAAGCAAGCATGGAGACTCGGGATTTAGTAGAGATACAGAGTCAGAATCACAGAGGAGACATCACACTAGCGGAAGTCACAGTGACAGTGCAGACAACCCGAATTTGTTTGGTATCCAACACTACAATAATACGCAGACAGGTAAACGCTCCTACATATGTGACACATGTGGGAAAGACTTTAAGTTCCAGTCAGTGTTGCAGAGACACGTGAGCGTCCACACAGGCGAGAAGCCGTATTCTTGCAAAATGTGCGGCAAAGCTTACAGACAGAGCGGCGAGCTGACAGTCCACATGAGAACTCACACGGGCGAGAGGCCATATATGTGCAAAGCATGTGGGAAAGATTTCGGACGCAACAGCAGCTTGTGGGCCCACATGAGAAGAACCCACATCGGTGAGATGCCGTACCTTTGCAAGATCTGCGGGAAACGATTCTTTGGAGTGTTTGAATTAGAGAGGCATTTGAGATTGCATACAGACAAGTAGTTTTAATGTGACGAGCCACATGAATGAACTTTGTGGAAGAAGTTTTTCACAGATCAATCCATAAACGGGACAAACCATCAAGCCGAGACTCCTCTGGAGTGAACACTCACCCACTGACATGAACACTTTTCTAATATCATGTGCTTGTAATAGTGTGCTACGCATTTCCTATAAAGAAGAGGTCACAATATCTTACTGTCATGAATTATTACATCATCAACAATTCCAGCAAGTTTTAAAATTAACTTTTATTCCCCCGTCATATATTTTTGGTAACAACAGTAATTTTTTTTAACAGCCATAATCTTTTAACTCTTTGAAACGTCCTTGTTGTACAATGAGTACATCTTACATACAAATGTTTCACCTGTTACATTTATATTATTTTAAATCTATTAAACCTTGCTTACGGTATTAGAGTGGATTGTGAACTCTGATGTTGAGGCTGAGAAACTTTTTATGTATTTTGTGATTGCTTTAACTTGATTACTGCACTATTACTTGACATACTGTGCTGTTTTTGAGCTATGGACGAGACAAACACATTGTAGATGGTGTGCTACATGGTGCCGGTTACTCAGACTGATGTTCCCACCTTGGTGCGGTGGAGGATTATGTTAACAATGAGCAGTAACGTTATTGTGGCGGCTAAATTTGCTTCAATCACTCGCCAAAAAAACAATGGTAATCTATGAAGTGGCTGGTACATTTTTGAAGGTGGACAAAGAAGGTATTTTCCAACCCTGGTAACAACCCATGTGGTTGTAATGTAAACCAGGACTAGTGCCTAAAGCGGCTAAATGCTGTGTATGAAATAAGAACACCAGATTCACCCTGATGTCTGCAGCTACCAGCAAAGTCTGTTCATTATGGCAGCATCAAAAGTAAAAGTAGTCACAGTGAGGAATAGTTTTTTCAGTGAGTTAAGTTATAACATGCAAGAGGATTTCAATGTTGTGGCTCATTGGCTGCAGGTTAAATAGAGCAGTGGTTCCCAACCTGGGCTCCCGACCCCCTGTAGGAGTCACTTAAGCTTCACGGGGGTCACAAGGCCTTCAGTTTAGATCACTATTTAAGGTTCTACGCTTTTCAAAAAGTCTCACAAGTTAAGGGCATAGTGACGACCTGAACTCAAGCTATATTCACAGAGCCTTCACTCTCTGCTAAACAGTGTCTTCCTGCATTAGAAAAATTCACAGTTAAAACAACCAAAGAGTAACAGAACAATGGTCAAGCCTCAGGAAGAAAATATATCAAGAAAGAGACCCATTGTATGAAGTATGTATGATTTTTTTTTTAAATTATACATATATGTGACACAATTTTGACAAGAAATAAATACTCTGCTCAAAATTCATTTTCCACAAACTTCCTGCAGTTATTGTGCTCACTATTTGGGTTAAGTGACAGTTTATCAGTTGTTCTGTGCTGTTATTGATACGCACTGAATACATTTTTTTTTTGTTTAATACATAATCATTTTCCGCAAGGTAACAAAACAGATGACGTTAATTAAAAGTAGTAGTTTATAGAAGAATATCACATTTCCTTGAGGAATAAAGCAAGCTAGATGTATGTCCTTGCTACCTCCAATACCAAGAAAAACACACTTGGTGATATGCATTGAATTCACTATAGAATGTCCACCATCACTAGGTCAGGGGTCATCAGTTGACTCAGTGATAGAAAAGGGGTCGATTAAGATAAAGGTTGGGAACCACTAATTTAGAGGATGATTTAAAAGTGTCACATCCACTGACGGAAATACTATGTAGTAAAAAGCATTGCAAAAATGAATAAATGAAGTTGAACTGTCTGGGAAAATGGGGATTTAAGCCTGCAGTTGAAAAATTAAAGTCACGTTCTTCAGAGGGAAGATGATTAGATGAAAATACTCGTTAGAAACTCCATGGAAATCATTAAGAAAAAGTTTATTTTGACTCCAGATTATAACGTAGAGAACTTTTAAAAGAATTGTGGATGAATGCAAAAAAGTTAGAAATGTGATAGGATGCCTTGTAGGCTGGGTAGCTCATATTGCATCTTTGAAATACAATGGAAACAACATATGGTGATCACAGTTACAGTGATCAGCTGCTTCAATGGATCAAAAAGCTTAGGACAGAATCATTTTTATACAAATACTGTTTAAATCAATTGTAGTCAAGTATGCCATTAACTATGTTCATTGTGGCTCTTTTTTAATACGTGACAACATACGAAAAACAGTTATAAACCGCAGTAATTCTTTGTGTTTGTAATTTATGCTCATGATACTTTGCCTTGTGATAACCTGTGGCCACCTGAGGCTGGTGCTGTGTGCACACTGAATCGTGACGGGAAGAAAGTCTTTGGCCCTCATTTATGGAACAAAGACATGACAGAAAACTGGGTGTACGGTCCACACAAACCTCTGCATTTATCAGTGTGGATGTGAACGATCAAATCTCACATCAGGTCTCATCATGTGTACACAAGTTGGTGTCGGCATGACAAATAAATCTGACTGAGTTGGAGAATTGTTAGTAGTTATGGGTCCACGTATTTGCAGCAACTTATTAATCACTTACAAATGTGTGCCCTATGAGAAAATATGGTGTTTTGTAAAGGCCTACGTCACTGCATGCTCAGCTCACAGCTGCCTGGCTCTGTGGCTCCAGGCTGACTGAAGACTGAACATCACTGCTGCTCGGTTCTTATTTATCTGACACTTTTCTTTTAAACGCTGACAGGCCAAAGCATGTTTATATAATTTATCATTAAAACTACGTACTGCAGTTGGTGTCCCTTTCCTGGTGTCACCTTCTTTCAATTGGGAAAACTTAATGTTCTCATTGTCATTCTTTCATCCACATCTGCAGTGCAAAAAAGTCACTGATATCTTCAGAAAACATGTTATAAATAAAGATTTGGGGAATATTAGGAACTCTACTGGCAGAATCAGGCCGCTGTCGACAATATATGAGAAAATATAAAGCACAATAGTCTTGCAGGAGAAACAAGGTCCCGCGCAGCTGCATGGCATTTGTTGTAACCTGTTTTTTAGGACCCTAATGGTCTCTAGTTAAGAATTGTTCTTGTTGCCAAGGTCAACTCGTGGCCCATGGGCTTCGAATGGTGGCCATCTTGAATTGATGTCCGCGTTAATGGTGAAAAATGCAGATTTTCATAACTTCTGAACTAGACACAATACACAAGCTGTGTCTCAATTCAGGGGCTGCAGCCTTTGAAGGATGTGGCCTTCGCAGTCTACGTCGGTCACGTCCTTTGAAGACTGCATCAGCCAAACTGAAAGGTCTCTGAAGGATTTCCTGTTTGCATCACCAATTGTTCTTGCCGGGACCCATTGGTGTTTCTGTGACCTAGCACCCAGCTAGTACCAACCATTAGGGTTGCCACCTTGGATTTGTGAAAAAAAGGGACACTTGACCAAATGTTTGAGGCGGAGGGCTCGGCCATTATTACCACTTCAGACTGACCAATGAACATGAAATTCGGACATAGGAGACCAGATTTGCCACCATTTCATGTTCTTCTATGTGCCTGTATTTTATATTAATTTTTATATCAATGAAAAAAACAAATCTGTGTGACTAAATTCTTACATTTTTACATGTATCTCACCATTGCAAGTTGGAAGTTGACATATTCTGCCATATATTAAGAGGGGAGACTCTCTGGAATCTGGCAATATAAGAACCATGATGCTGGGACATTCTGTCACTTCACAGCTGTCCAAAACATGTGGTTTGTGCCAGGCGGACATGATTGCCAGTATTTTTTCATTATTGCAAGAAATTCCATCGACTCATTCACAAGTCAAAAATGTGTTTTATCTGAAAGAAACATGCAATATTTACATCTAAGATAATAGAAAAATAGTCAACCAAGTGCAATGATGTCCTCCAAGATAATATTTGCCACTTTGTTTGCAGTAAACAAAAAATTGGGCATGGGGGGGGGGCACGTGTCCCCCTCAATGTATATGGTGTCTACGGCCCTGACAGCATGTATAATTAGGCTGCAGTTGTCTGGGTGCGCAAAGGTAAAGTGCGCTTGTCTTGTCATACAAAGTTTGATGGAGTGTCAGCTGGACAATATGGAGATATTTGCATGTTGAAAGCCGGACTACAAATGTGGATAGACAGGTAGAAACACATGTAAGCCTAAGACGTGGTAAGATACGATATTCCTCACTATATGAAGTGACTGATAACAAGATCTGTATAATGGATTGTAAAGAAATTCGTCAGGATATTATTTGGTAGACAATTGATCTGTATTTATAGCGTGATGGGATGACAGCACAATGATGTGTGTGGTATCATTGGAAAGCTCTGCTCCTGCGCTTTCATGTGATATGCGTGGCATTTCTGTGCGACCCTGCATTCGCAAGTAATCCATCCAAGAGTAATGTGTGTGCAGAGCTGTATGAAAGCTCTGTTATACATCATTTTAGTGTAACTTTACCTTTTTTTCCGCTGTGAAAACTTTCGGAAAGCTACGATTCCGCTGTTTCACGAGATATGCGTGGCTTCTTGCTATGACGCACGGTCGCGGAGAAAAACCATAGAGAAGAACAGGTGTGAATTTGGACGCACTATGCGTCGTTCGGGGCCTGTTGCACTGATTGCACTGATTCTGGATGGACTCCTTGGCCTGCTGCTGCTGCATTTTGCCCAAAAAAACGGGACAAATTGTGTCCCGGGAGAGATTTTTTTCCCCGGGACAGCTGATGAAAAAAGAGAACAATTCTGGGAAAAACGGGACGGGTGGCAACTCTACCAACCATTAAGCTAGTAAGTTAGTTAGCTCTAAATCATGGACCCAGAGATTGTTATTATATATTTATTTTTTTTATTTAATACTTGAGGAGATGATTCACTGCTGGAGTCACCGCCGTTTCATATATTTCAGGCTGATGGACGATTTTCAGGTTAACTCATTAAATTCAGATTGATTGAACTGTGTGCTTTTAGCTTATAGTAACGTTAACAACAGTTAACCGGTGGTTAGTTAACAACTGTTAGTATATGATTGTTGCCAGTGCACAATGCATCTTTGGATAGGCTGGGCCACGAAGGATTCATCCGTTGCATTCTCCAAATTCTGGGTAAAAAGACTGCATCTCTTGGCTGCATTTGAGGGAGCCTTCGAAATGGGAAAGCCTTGGTTGCACCCATGTGACGCAATCTGTCTTCATTTGCAGCCTTCGGCCCTGAATTGAGACAGGTAAAAACAAATGAACCCACTTTTTCATATAATTTGGGCAACAGGAAACAAATGGAAACATCACTGACATGCTATATTTACTCTTTAATGGTAAAAAACGGGCAAATGACACATTTTAGGCTCACAACAATATAACGTCTGCTATTTGTTTCACAGTTGTTTCCTGCAATAGCCAAATGTAGCTACTTTATTATCTTAGATAAATCTCAAGGTTATTAAATGGGTGCGGTCTATGACACCAAGATGAGTCTGTTTCAGGCTGGAGAGGAGGATCTCAGATCAGACCTGGAATCTGGTGAAGTGTGAATGATCCTGTTGAGTGTTAAGTGTGGCTTATGTCTAATAAGCACTGAAGTTTCATAATCTTAGTTATCTATAATGTCACAGCTTTGTTCAGTACAGTTACCTGGAGTAGTTCTGCCTATCAAATGTGAAGAACAAGTCTGCAGTGTCCGCCAGGTTATTGTTGGTCTTCACAGGGAAGAGGAGCATGAACACAAACTGCCAACAGTCCATGAGAGAAAACAAAGAAAGAATAAAATCCCAACAAGTGGCACAAACCCTACATCATTTTCACCTTCATAACCTAACATCCAGCAGATTTAACAAATTGAACAATCTGACAATAACACACACTTTCAAAATTTTAGCAAATGTGCCAAATTACTATTGAAAAAAATGTCATTTAAAATATTAAAGTGCAAGTACTCGTGTCCAATGGCCTCTTTTTAGTGTTACTGAGGCCATGATGTGTGCATTGGGATTTTTGTTGTTTTTGTTGTTTTTGTTGCAGCTAGTTGAGGTGTAAAAATGTTAATCAGCAAAGTAACTATAGCTGTCAAGTAATTTTAGAGGCCTGAAAAGTACATTTGCCTGTAGAACTATATGTAGCAACAAAGTACTCAAAGAATACCTCCAATATTTATATATTTATTTATTCAAACTGTTGGCATGGCATTTACATGCAATCTTGGCCATCTGATGACCGTCAATGTTGTACATAATTACAGTAAATAAGTACATGTAGTTACGTCCCACCACTGCTTGTTCAATACGAGGCAGCTCCATTGATCAAATTACCAAACGTTAGCAAATGTTACTTAAACTTAACTTCCAGCCAGTGAGCTGCAACATCAAAACATTTGGTTATAGCCTTAGAGTTCAGAGTGTTTCCAGTATTATCACATCATCCCCAAACTAATCTTTATTTTTAGAATACATACATGAGCTCAGACACCAGCATTTTGTTGCCCATGTCTCTTTGGGCACTGATCATTATATGATCTACTCAGGCTTGTTCGTTAGCACCATAGCACCATGGTACATCATTTACAATTAGTGTGTCACTTCAAAAGCCAGACACAACAGAAATTATACAATAAAAAAAATATAAATATGTTTGACATGTTGCAGACAAAAAAGACAAGATTATTGTTGGCAGGAAGACGATACAAGTGACCCAACACAACCTCAACATCAAAATATACTAAAAGAAAATTCACTCAACAGATCAAACATCTCTAGAAACGTTGCATCCATTGTGCAAGAAAGACTTTTCAAAGTCATAAGAGATTATGATTGTTTCGAAGAAATACTGCTGCGAACAAATATATAAGTAACACAGTAATATGAAGGTAAAAAATAAGGTTAGTTAAACAAAGCTTGATGGCATTGTTGACGACAAGATACTGTGACCTCTTGTAGTAGTAATAGTATACATTTAGTACTTTATTTAGTCAGTAAACATGTCTCCATGGGAGTTTCAGCTGCTGGTTTCTCCTGTGTATAATGCATGTAGTGTTTTCTCCAGTAGGTAATGTGATTTCAGTAAAACTTTTCCCACAAGTGATGCAATTATGTGATTATGACATGTATGAGCTCTTGTATGTTTTGACTATCAACTATGAGAACTGAACCATCACACGTATTTGATGACTACAGGGCTACTCGCCTGTATGTGCTGCCATATGATTTAGCAAATGAGACACACGGAAGTATCTATTCCCACAGATCTTGCAAACGTACGGCTTCTCACCATTGTGTGCTCTGATGTGGATCCTTAAGTGACCACTAAGTCTGAAAGCTCTGCCACACGTTTCACATTTAAACGGCTTCTCGCCGGTGTGGATTCTCGCGTGGGCTCTCAAATCTGACATCTGACAGAATCTCTTCCCGCACGTTTTACACGTATACGTCTTCTTCTCATCTGTGTGGACTCTCATGTGCCTTTTCAACGGGGAATTGTCACTGAATCTTTTCCCGCAGACCTTGCAAGAATATGGTTTCTCGCCCGTGTGCGTTCTTATGTGGACTTTCAAGGTGCTGTTGTGTCTGAAGTCCTTCCCGCAGATCTTGCACGAATATGGCTTCTCACCTGTGTGTATTGTCTGGTGTCTCTGCAGATGGAACTTAGACTTAAAAACTCTTTCACACGTGTCACATTTGAATGACTTTTCACACTTTTCTGTGTGAGTATTCAAGCGATGCATTGACGACATAGCAGGGTTGTATACGTGGTAAGTGTAAGTGTTGCTTTTGTGTTGTTGACTCTGTTGTTTCAGCTCTGCATCTCCTGAGCATGATCCTGCGTCTCCATGCTTGCCTCCTGTCTGATCCTGGCTCTCAGCTACATAGTGATAATTGTGAGAGAGGAGCTGGTGGTCACTGTTTGCCTCTGATCCCCCAGAGCTTATGACTGACACGTAGCTCAGAGGCTGCTCTTCCACCAGACTTTGAGTTTCATCACTGTTCAGGTATGGAGTCTGATCTTCACTGTTTTCACTGTCCTCATAAGGAGCGATCATAAAGGTATCAGCCTCCTCCTTCAGCTCAAGCTGCTCTCCCTCCTGACTGGTGCAGAGCTCCTCCGGCTCCTCTTTGATCTGTGGAGGCTCTGGGTCCTCCTGGTCCAGACTGGAGCTCCTCTCCTGGTCAGCGAGAACCTCCTCCTCCTTACAGACATGTTGGTGTGGGAGCTCTGGAGGGACAGATGGCAAAATGGATAAGACAGCACTAGGATGATGGAGAAAACAGACATTTAAGCAGATAAATACGAGTTAATTTCAGCCATTAGGATACTATAAGGCATTTAAATGTCACACACCTGTCCTTTCTAAATTAATTCCAGGTTTCCAGACGTTTTCCAGCAGCCTGCGCTGACGGTCGAGCTCCTCCTCGTACTCGACGATAGTCCTTTTAAAAACTCCGAATATTTCCTCAGCAGCTACAGCCAGTCGCTCATTCACAAACTCCCTCAAATACTCAACGGAAGACATTGTTGTGACGTTGTAAATTAAATTATAAGCTGCACTACTACTGTAATATCGTCTTCCGACATGAGAGCGCAGCTAATGCTACTAGCTCCTGTATTGTTTACTTCTTCTTCTTCGACTTCTTTTTTAATGGCAGGTGCCACATGGCGTTGAAGGCACATTGCCGCCACCTACTGGCCACAGCCCAGTACTCCATTAGGAATTAAAAAAAAATCTTTGCTTTGCTTCTTTTAAAAAATCAAACAAGTTTTTATATTTTCTTTTCCTCAGTGCCTAATGAATTCTTTAGACTGAATATTCCCACCTCACAGTTCTTTAGTTCCCTCATTAGATTCTCTCCATTACTTATATACTTCTGGCCAGGAGCTTAGCACCAAGTTCTCGGCCCTGTGTAGAGGCCCCCCACCCTTCCTCTTTTGATCCATGTCTCTTTCTTTCTTTCTTTCTTTCCTTTATATTTAATTATTATTATTATTACAATTTAACAAATAATTGAGCCTACAACTGTACACCAAAACAGGCTATGATGTCATACAACATTGTAGCTATGATGCTAATTTATGATACTGATTAATCATTTATGTTATATAATGCATATATACTCCGAGCTAGATTCCTTAATGTGTATTGATGGAAGATCGGAGTATTCATTGCAAAGACAGACAGACTGACCGACTGACTGACTGACTGACTGACTGACTGAGTGACTGACCGGAGATAGGTAGGTAGATAGATAGATAGACAGACATAGACAGACAGACAGATAGATAGATAGATAGATAGATAGATAGATAGATAGATAGATAGATTGACAGACAGACAGGCAGACAGACATAGACAGATAGATAGATAGATAGATAGATAGATAGATTGACAGACAGACAGACAGACAGACAGACAGGCAGGCAGACATAGATAGATAGATAGATAGATAGATAGATAGATAGACAGACATAGACAGACAGATAGATAGATAGATAGATAGATAGATAGATAGATAGATAGGTAGATAGACAGACAGACAGACAGTCAGACAGACAGACAGGCAGGCAGACATAGATAGATAGACAGACAGACAGACAGACAGACAGGCAGACAGATGTAGACAGATAGATAGATAGATAGATAGATAGATAGATAGATAGATAGATAGATAGATAGATAGACAGACAGACAGACAGACAGACAGGCAGGCAGGCAGACAGACATAGACAGATAGACAGATAGATAGATAGATAGACAGACAGACAGACAGACAGACAGGCAGGCAGACAGACATAGACAGATAGACAGATAGACAGATAGATAGATTGACAGACAGACAGACAGACAGACAGACAGGCAGGCAGACATAGATAGATAGATAGATAGATAGATAGACAGACAGACAGACAGACAGACAGACAGACAGGCAGGCAGACAGACATAGACAGATAGATAGACAGACAGACAGACAGACAGACAGACAGGCAGGCAGGCAGACAGACATAGACAGATAGACAGATAGATAGATAGATTGACAGACAGACAGACAGACAGACAGGCAGGCAGACATAGATAGATAGATAGATAGACAGACAGACAGACAGACAGACAGGCAGGCAGGCAGACAGACATAGACAGATAGATAGATAGATAGATAGATAGATAGATAGATAGATAGATTGACAGACAGACAGACAGACAGGCAGGCAGACATAGATAGATAGATAGACAGACAGACAGACAGACAGGCAGACAGACATAGACAGACAGACAGACAGACAGACAGACAGGCAGACAGACAGACAGACAGACAGACAGACAGATAGATAGATAGATAGATAGATAGATAGATAGACAGACAGACAGGCAGACAGACATAGACAGATAGATAGATAGATAGATAGATAGAGAGAGAGAGAGAGAGAGATGATATAGATAGATAGATAGATAGATAGATAGATAGATAGATAGTCAGACCAGTTATACTCGAGCCTGTTGTAAACACTCCGGTACGGTAGGTGACGCTGTGCACCTAAAACTAAGTACTGCAATCTGCCAAAAATACAAAGAAGAAGAAGAATAACTTCAATAACACGGCATGAACGTACAGTACTGAATGAACTGGTTGTCGATACTTTTTCCGTTTCATTAGTAATTAAACAACAATGTCTTCAGTTGAGTCTTTGAGAGAGTTTGTCAAAGAGAGACTAACTGCTGCTGCTGAAGAAATATTCAGAGTTTTTGAAGAAAGTATCGTGAAGTACGAGGAAGAGATCAGTCGCCAGCGCAGACTGCTGGACATCGTTGGGAAACCTGAAGTAAAGTTACTCGGGGCAGGTGTGTAAAAACGTTAATGGTCTATAAAACTATCAGGGGAGTGTGAGCCATAGTAATGGTTTAAATACAGACGTGTATTTATCTGCGCAGGTGCTTTCTATCATCACAGTAGTATCCTATCTCTTTTGTTCCCTGTCCCTCCAGAGCTCCCACAGCAACATGTCTGTAAGCAGGAGGAGGTGCTCGCTGACCAGCAGCTCTGTATTCAGGAGAGGACTTCCAGTCTGGACCAAGAGGACCCAGAGCCTCCACAGATTAAAGAGGAAGAGGAGGAACTCTGCATCAGTCAGGAGGGAGAGCAACTTGAACTGAAGGAGGAGGCTGATACCTTTATGTTGACTCCTACTCATGAGGAAAGTGACCACGGTGAAGATCAGACTCTGGACTCAAATCCCGATGAAACTCTAAGTGCAGAAGAGAAGGAGTGTGTAGCCAACATGCCAGTTATAAACTCTGTGGTATCAGAAGCACACAGTGACCACCAGGTCCTCTCTCACAACTCTCATGTAGCTGACAGCAAAGAGCAGAAAGGAGGCAAGCATGGAGACTTGGGATTAGCTAAAGACGCAGAGACAAAACTAAAGAGAAGATGTCACAAAATCAGAAGTCACAGTAACGATGTTAGCAACTCTAACTTGTCAGAGATTGACCGTAATACTCACACACCTAAACGGTCTTCTGAATGTGACAAATGTGGAAAAGATTTCAAGTATAAGTCACAACTGCAGAAACACATGAGAACACACACAGGTGAAAAACCATATTCTTGCAAAACATGTGGCAAAGACTTCACGTGTAGCAGTGTCCTGAGTGTCCACATGAGGATCCACACAGGGGAGCGGCCATACCTTTGCACGACCTGCGGGAAAAGATTCCGTGGCAAATCGGTATTGAATAATCACATGAGAACCCACACGGGTGAAAAACCATACGCTTGCAACACATGCGGCAAAATATTCCGTCAGACATCCTCACTGAACATTCATCTAAGAACCCACACGGGCGAGAAGCCGTACTCATGCAAAACATGTGGGAAAGCTTTCAAATGTAGCAGCAACTTAAATGTCCACATGAGAACCCACACGGGTGTGAAGCCGTACGTCTGCAAGACATGTGACAGAGGATTCTGTGACATTTCAGGATTGATAAGGCATATGACAATCCACACAGGCGAGAAACCACATACTTGCAAAACATGTGGGAGAGGTTTCACAGCTAGTCGTGACCTGACGATCCACATTAGGAGAGACCACACGGGTGAGAAGCTGTACGTATGTGAGATCTGTGGGGAAGGTTGCTTTGATGCATCTAATTTGGCAGATCACATGAGGACGCACACAGGGAAGTAGCCTCGTGTTTGTAAAATATGTGGGAGATGATTCAGTCATGGATGGGTTACTGAAAGGGCCTCCCAGACACAGGCAAATGTAAAGCACACCAAGAATTATCTTACTGGCAGTTTACTTGATTACAGAACACAAGTGTCGCACACACTGGCTCCATATGCATTTCTTTTATTTTGATGATGACGTTTTGACCTTTGGGTCTTCTTTAAGATCAACAATCGTACTGAGACACAGGTTCACTTACTGTTAAGTAGACCACACCTTTGGCACACAGCTGATAATGATAAGATGATCATGCTGCACTACGAGGTTGAGCAAGTCACACTGTGTGACAATTCTTACTTGATTCAAATTTTGAATGCATCATGAATGATAATGATTCAATACCTCTTCCATGCTGCTTATTTCTGTCCTTGGCGATAATATCAAACCTGCTGCAAGAAATCTAGGGGTCTGGTTTGACAGTAATTTAAGTTTTGAGGAGCACGTCTCAAAGCTTGTGCAAACATGTTTTTATCATGTTAGAAATATTTTAAAAAATCTGATCCATTTCAGCTTTTAAAGGCACAGAGACAATTTTACGTGCCTTCATCTCTTCACGCCTGGATGACTTCAACAGCCTCTTTTCTTGACTGAATCAAAAAACCTATTTATCAACTCCAGGCTGTACACAATTCAGCTGCCAGACTTTTAACCAGAACCAAGAGACATGATCACATCACCGCAGTTTCAGCCTCTTAACATCGGCTCCCAGTGTGTCCCAGAATAGATTTTAAGAGTTTACTGATTACTTTTAAGGCTCTTCATGGTCTCTCTCCCAGCTATATCTCTGACCTCTTGGTGCAGAACATGCCAGGACGTACTTTGAGGTCCTCGGGCAGAGGTCGTTTGTCTGTCCCACAGTCCCAGCTGAAAACTAAAAAGGACAATCTGCCAGAGGAAATCAGGTCGGCCGAGTCAGTGATCCCTTTTATGTCTTTTCTTAAAACATACTTTTATCAGAGAGCCTTTCCTGATTTTACTTGAGTTTTAAGTTCATTTAGACTGTCTTTTATTTCCTGTTTTTATACACTGAAGTGCCTTTATCAGTAGTTTTAAAAGTTGTTTTTGTCTTGTCTGTTTTAATTATTGACATGTAAAGCAATTTGTAACTCCGTTTTGAAAAGCGTTTATAAATAAAGAATATTATTACTATCATCATTATTATTAGTGTATTTTTATACACAATTACTGAGGTAACAAAACAATGCTTACCGATATTTACACACAAGTTCTGAATAAAATGCCATCAGTCAGTTGGAAGCGGAACTAAACGCTCCCCAACTTCCGCTGTCGGAACTTAACAGTGTGACGTCCAGCGGAAGTAAACAACACAGCCGCTAGTAGCGTTAGCAGCAGCCGTTAGACGACATTGTAGCTGTAGTGCAGATTCATTACTCCATTTTTGTAACTAGGCAACAATGTCTTCAGTTGAGTATTTGAGGGAGTTTGTCAACGAGCGACTCGCCGTAGCTGCGGAAGAAATATTTGGATTTTTCGAGAAGACCGTCATCGAGTACGAAGAAGAGCTCGACCGTCAGCGCAGACTGTTGGACGTCGTTTGCAAACCTGAGATAAATACGCACAGGATAGGTGTGTAAACATCAATGGTCCTAAGAAAACACACAGTATGACTTAATTAAAGTTGGGGGTTACGTGTGTTATTCAACACGTCAGCATTGTTTTCGTGAAACATGTTTCCAATGCAGCTAACTGTATTCACATGAAATCTGGTCCAGACATTTTAATACATGAAAAGTTACATGCAATAAAGTGGAATTATACAGGGGACAGGGTTAAAGATTACAGCATGCGATGTATAATTACTCTGGAGTCAATTTGCTGTCTTATCTTGTGTACTCCGGGTGTAACAATACAGCAGACTAATACATATACCGTAAAACTTCTATTAATAGCCCAGGCTGTAATTTGCTTAAATCACTGGAAGCAACAGACCTTTATTTGGGACAGACCTTTAATTTCTTTCTCTCAAAACTGTTGCTCAGTAAAGATGGGAAATACAATCACATTGTTTATTTATACTAAAATGAATATTACTTATATACAAATTAGGTTTCAGGTAACATATAGTTAATTTGATCTAGTTCCCAAAGAGCAACAGAGAGAAAGAGAGTTACCACACCCAGCATACTGACACAAAACCACTTTATCCTGTTAAAACAACATTCACAACTTGAATTAATTTTTAAGAAAAAAAACAAACCCTTTTTATTATTTTGATCTGAGGACCCTTACGGACCACAGGAATATAAATAATTTACAGGGTATATGAGGAGTGGACACGTATTTGAGGTAGCCAACAAGCCGGGTTTATTCATTCATACTTCATACTTCTATTAAAAAATGAACCGGTTTGCAACCAGACCAGGCGTCTAATTGACACAGGCGTTAATTTGTCAAAATGTGTAGCCACACTGGGCAAATTAAAGGCAGTTATGTAGTTATTTTTAAGCACTGGTTACGTACTCTGTTGGGGTATTGTGATGCACTGAGCAATAATCTTGATGTTTTTTCGGAGGAACTTGGAGAGAGAACCTGTTGGTTACCATTTCTATTACAATTACAGGCTACAGAGTTTGGTCATAAAACTGAGCAAACATCAGGGCGCATAGGGAAGATAGAGTAATGACTTCTGCATCACTTAATAAATCATATGTGATTTTGTTTTATACTAACAAACAAGCAAACTACATTGTTAAAATGTGAACAGTCTTTTCCCTGGCAATTTTGGTTGACCAGCATTACAGCTCCTCAAGGTGCAAGCTTACCTTTTATCAACTCTGTGCACGGCCTCCTTTCATCCTAGGAAATAAATACAAATACAGCAAGATAAAAAACAAGGTATGAATTACGTGTACACTGTGTATGGTTAATATACTCTTGTGATAGCAAACTGCAGTTCATTTAGTTTTTCCATGTTTTAAGGCACGTGAAATCGAAATAAATTGTTCTCCGTAGCTGCAGGGTAAGATACATGTACACGCAGTGGTAGTTCCCCCTTGTTACATTGTGTTACATGCTAATTACAGGGCCTGCAGGCTGTAATCTAAAGCACTATCATTAATCAAATTGTGATTATTTTGACAGATAATGCTGCATGAGGCACAGTTTTAGTGGTAATGGTAATTTTTGCATTTCATTTTCACAAAAAAAAAAAAAAATGCAAAAATGATGATGTGTTTTTTGTTGGGAGACTGTACCAAACAAGCCTGTCCCCTTACACCTTGAATATGATTTATAGGCCGGGGCATCTCTGTAGTAGCACTCATTTATAATGGTATGGTGCAGTGACACATTTTACCTTCTTTAAAAAATTGCAGCTCCTGCAATTTGGATATTGCGCTAGGCCAGATTGCAAATTTATGCAGCTCTACTGTCATCAGTTACATTTAGTTACAGGGTAACTAGAGGGTATGCCGCTGTAATCTAAGGCTCTTTAAGTTCCCCTTATAGCTTGGAGAAAGAAAGGAAGGACAGAGGAGAGAGAGAGGGGATGACATGCAGCTGAAGTCCATGCTGGATTTAAATCAGGACTCAGCTTTAATGTATTGTGTGCATGCTCTACCAGGTGCTTTCTGTATAAAGAAACTAATCTCTCAGGGTGTTCAGGTGGGATTTTGGCCCATTCTTCCACACAGACTTTCTTCTTGTTATCTAAGAGCTTGTTTGAAGTTTGCTACACAACCTTATGAGGAGCCTGTAGATCAGTGGAAGAATGTAATGTGGTCAGAGAGACAAATCTCACCTCAACACTGTGAGAGGTTAGTTTCATTGTTCAGGAAACATCTTGAAGCTGACATTGCAAACAAAGGTTTCTCCACAAAGTGTTAAATAGGTTTCAGTAAGTGTGTTAAATATTCTTTTGTTTTTGGTGTAGTTTTATTGTGTTATTACCAATGTCTCGTCTAAATTTCATGTGAATAGATATATTGGAAACAAGTTTGTGTAGTAATTATTTCTCCCACTGTAGCACCCTAATGGTTTTGAGACATAGATGTGTGTTACTCTGTCATCACAAAGGTGTCTTATTCCGTTTGTTCTCTGTCCCTCCAGAGCTCCCACAGCAACATGCCTCTATGGAGGAGGAGGAGGAGGAGGAGGCTCTTGCTGACCAGCAGCTCTGTATTCAAGATGGGAACTCCAGTCTGGACCAAGAGGACCCAGAGCTTTCACAGATTAAAGACGAAGAGGATGACCTCTGCGCCAATCAGGAGGAAGAGCCACTTGTGCTGAATCACGAGACTGATACCTTTATGATGACTCCCAATTATGAGGACAGTGACAACAGTGACGATCAGTCACCGTACTTAGATATCGATGAAGCTCAAAGTGTGGGGGAGGAAAACCATTTAAGCTACATTTCAGTTATAAGCTCTGTGGGATCCGAACCAAACAGTGACTACCAGCTCCTCTCGCACAGCTCTCGTGTAGCTGAGAGCCAGTATTTGAGAGGAGGCAAGCACGGAGGCTCAGGATCCACTAGAAATACCGGGTTAGAACCACACAAGAGAGATCACAAAAGCAGAAGTCACAGTTACAGTATAGACAAACCTAAGTTGTCAGGGTTTCACTATAATGCTCACAAAGGTAAACAGTGTTTCACATGTGACACGTGTGGAAAAGAATTTAAGTGTAAGTCGTCACTGGAAAGACACCTGACCATCCACACAGGTGAGAAGCCGTATTGTTGCAAAATATGTGGGAAAGATTTCAGACTTAGCAGTGTCTTGAAAGTCCACATGAGAACCCACACAGGCGAGAAGCCGTACCTTTGCAAGATCTGCGGGAAACGATTCAGTCAGACATCAACACTAAACGTTCACAGAAGAATCCACACGGGTGAGAAGCCGTATTTTTGTAGAATATGCGGGAAAGATTTCAGACGTAACGATGATTTGATAGTGCACATGAGAACCCACACAGGTGAGAAGCCGTATTCTTGCAAAGTGTGTGGAAGGGATTTCGGACGCAAGAGTAACTTGTTGGTCCACATGAGACGAGCCCATGCTAATGAGAAGCACTTGGAAGACCTGTGGGAAACTATATATTGATATGTCTCATGTGGCAAAGCATGCATACACACGAGTAGCCTTGTATTTGCAAAATATGCGGGAAACTATTCAGTTCTAGTGGTTCATGTAAACAAAAAAACATAATTGCAGCACTTGTGGGAAAAGTTTTACTCAAATCACACTCGTGAAAAAACACCTGGGATCAATATACAGAGGAGAAAATATCAAGCGGAAGCTTTTGTGGATACGAGTTCACCAACCGAATGAAATCCACATTTACAGTAGCTACAGTTCTCTTACTGAATGTACAATATTAAAGTAAGGATGATATGTCGATATGTTAATGTAAAGTTTTCCTTTGTATGACTCTGTATTACTTATTATTTTGTTTGCAATATTATGTCTAAAGCAATCATAATCTCCCAAATCAAGGACAAATGTGAGTTTACAGTGAGTTCACTGCAGTGGATGTTAAAATAATGGTGTGATCATGATGGATGTTGGTTGTGCCAAATGTTGATTTCTGAAGTTTCTCAATCACTTTAATTTAATATGTTTAATAAGTACTTAAGAACCATGTGTTCTATATGTGGATCTGTATGAAGCCTCCTGCACATCTTTATCTGAAGTGGATTTTACATTTAAGAGTGACTGACCATTGTTGTTTTTATGATATGTAAGAAGTCCAATAAATACAAACATGCCTTCTTCTCTTTGCTATTTTCATGCATTATCTGACGTTTGTGTGTGACCAAGTTCTGTCTCATTTTTGCCATTTTTGTTTGATGATTGATGAGTGATTAACTGATTATGAAAATAGCGCCGGTTAATGCCAGTTAATATCAGAGACTAAAAGTGCAATAATTATAAACGGAATAAACCCTCTCTTACATACACTTTCACATCTTAGCAGTTCTGCCTACTCTTTTTATATATATAACTTAAAGTTTAATTCTAAAAGCCTAACCAGGGACAGGGGTTGCAAATTAGTCATGGGTAGAAACCTGTATCTACTTTGTATTTTACATATGAAGCAATGTCTCATGCATTTGTCCTTGTCGTATAAACAAGTAAATACATAAATTTAGCAGTGTAACATCCAGCAAATTTAAAAAATTGAATTTAACGAGTTCTGATGAATTGTAAAAAATTGCTTGATTTATATAAACAGTGAAATGAAAACATCATCTAAACACTGTGTACTTGTACTTGAGCACTGCTAATGTATAGCTTTATATCAGCAATACTCAAATATATGTCCTAGTGGTCCACTTGCAAAATTTCTACAGTGTCAAGAAGGTTGGATTAAGCAGCTGATATTTAAATTGAGTCAGGTTCCATGAAATCTTATAAAGGGTCTGGATTAAATTGCATTTGGGTCCAGATTTGGATTAGAGTCCTTGTATGTGGGCAATATATAAACACATAGTAAGAATGAATAAACTGGGGAAAAGTGCTACGTGGAAAGTTGAAATTAGGGTGCATTGCAAAACCAGACCATCTGGGATTTTTTTTTCTGACTCAAAAGAAAACAAAACCATCATTATAGAAAAATACATCTTGCAAATGTGTTGCAATGCTATGGTACATTTATGGGAAAAATATGCCTTGGATGTTTCATCTCACCAATTTGAAATAAGTGTGTCTTTATTACTAATTTTTTTAAATATACTTTATTAATCTCCCCACCTTGGTCAGGCACCCTGGGTGGTTATGGGGTGGGGTGGGGGGGGGGTGACTTGCACAAGGGCACTTGGGCAGTGCCCAGGAGGTGAACTTGCTCCTCTCCAGCCACCAGGCCACGTTTCATATTTCGTCAGATCCGGGACTTGAACAGGTGACCCCCCGGTTCCCAACTTAAATCCCTATGGACTGAGTTAATGCCTCTCCCAAAACTTGTCTGTCAGAAGTGGGATTCGAACCCACGCCTCCAGGGGAGACTGCGACCTGAACGCAGCGCCTTAGACCGCTCGGCCATCCTGACATCTTGCATAGTTTTCGGGAATTTGAAACTAAGAATTTAGAACCCTACTGGCTCATAAACATTAATAAAGCTTTGTCAGAACTTCATCGTTTAATGTTCATTTGTTTCTAATATGGGATCATTATCTGACACGTAACAAACAAAGATGGCTGCCAATTAAAAGTAGTAGTTTAGATATGACTACCAAATGTCCTTGTTAAACGAAGCGAGTGAGATGTGCATTCTTAATCTTAAATTAAGCACAGATTTTTGATTAAAAGCCATCAGGTGGAAGCGGAAAGAAAAAGATCCTGCACGTCCACTGTCGGAGCTTAATAGTGTGACACCGGCGGAAGTAAACAATAGAACCGTTAGTAGCGTTAGCTGCATGCCCATAATGAATTAGCTGGAAGATGAGATTGTAGTCGCAGCGCCGGTAATTCTTTTGTTAGTTTGTTTTGTTTGTCATGCTGAAACAATGTCTTCTGTTGGGTATTTGAGAGAGTTTGTGAACGAGCGACTGGCTGTAGCTGCTGAGGAGATATTCGGAGTTTTTGAGAAAACTGTCGTCGAGTACGAGGAAGAGATTGAGCGTCTGCGCAGACTGTTGGATATCGCCTGGAAACCTGAAATAAAGCTACACAGGATAGGTGCGGAAAACCTCAATAGTCCTTAAAAATGAACAGGAGTTTGACTCGTATAGGATCATAATGGTTTAAAGACATGCTTGTATTTTCCTGCTCACATCACTGCAGCATCATTTTCCCTTTGTTGTCTGTCCCTCCAGAGCTCCCACATGTCTGTAAGGGAGAGGAGGTTCTCACTGACCAACAGCTCTGTATCCAGGAGAGTCTGGACCAAGAGGACCCAGAGCCTCCACAGATTAAAGAGGAAGAGGAAGAGGAGGAACTCTGCACCAGTCAGGAGGGAGAGCAGCTTGAACTGAAGGAGGAGGCTGATACCTTTATGTTGACTCCAATATATGAGGAAAGTGACCACAGTGAAGATCAGACTCTGTATTTGAATCCTGATACAACTCTGGAGCAAGAGTCTGTAATCGACATACCAGAGGCACACAGTGGCCACCAGCTCCTCTCTCACAGCTCTCATGTAGCTGAGGGCCAGGATCAGACAGGAGACAAGTATGGAGACTCAGAATCGAGTAGAGATGCAGAGGCCGAACCTAAAAAAAGACATTACAAAAGCAGAAGTCACAGTGACAGCGTTAACAGCCTTAATTTGTCAGAGCTTCACCGTAAAACTCAGGCAGACAAAAGGCCTTTCAAATGTGACACATGTGGGAAAGATTTTAAGTCTGAGTCAAAACTGAGTATACACTTGAGCATCCACACAGGTGAGAAACCTTACCTTTGCAAGACCTGCGGGAAAAGATTTGGTTACATGTCCGTACTGAAAACTCATTTACTCATCCACGCAGATAAAAAGCCGTATTTGTGCAAAGCATGTGGGAAAGGTTTCAGAATTAGCAGTGCCCTGAAACTCCACATGAGAATGCACACAGGTGAGAAGCCGTACCTTTGCAAGACATGCGGGAAAAGCTTCTGCGCCATGCAAGTGTTGAAAAGGCATTTGACAATCCACACAGACGAGAAGCCGTATACTTGCAAAACATGTGGGAGAGCTTTCAGGCAGAGCAGTGACTTAAAAGGCCACATGAGGATCCACACAGGCGACAAACCGTACCTTTGCAAGACCTGTGGGAAAACATTCTGTGACATCTCAGCGTGGAAAAGGCACATGAGGGCCCACACGGGCGAGAAACCGTACATCTGCAAGACCTGCGGGAAGAGATTTGGTTATATGTCAGTACTGAAAACCCATATGAGAATCCACACAGGTGAGAAGCCATTTTCATGCATCACCTGTGAGAAAAAATTCAGTCGGAGGCCAGACTTGAAAAAGCACATGAGGATCCACACAGGTGAGAAACCATATGTTTGCACAACATGTGGGAAAGCCTTCAGACTTAGTGGTGACCTGACAGTCCACATTAGAAGAGCCCACACTGGTGAGAAACCGTATCTTTGCAAGATCTGCGGAAAAAGATTCTTTGATGTGTCTTACTTAGCAAAGCATATGAGAATGCATATAGACAAGTAGCCTTAAAAATATGTGTGACAGAAGTACACGGTCAAAACCCACAAGGACTCGAAGACGTGAGGAGCCACATAAGTGCAGCACGTGTTTGATTTTACTCAAAACACTTGAGGATCAGTTTACACGGGAGAAACCATAGAGCTGAAACTCTTCTGGAGAAGTATTCTCTAACTGATTTAAATACACTTTTGCAGTAGCTACATCTCTAAATGAATGTAAATATTTTCACTTAAGATGAGATCGTTAAATCTTAATGTAAAGTTTTACTTTATTTGACTGTTTTAGTGCTGTCCTGAGAGGTGAAGCATCCTCAAGAAACCCGAGCAAATCCAGTTGCCTACCACGTAGCACTTAAAACTGTATTACTTACATTTCCGTCAGCAAACAGTATTTCTTTGAAACCATTTCAATCAAAAAAATGTATTAAAAAAAGCACATCAAGTTCAATGTAATTAAAATAATGCTGTGATCTTTACAGTTTTACCAAATTCACAAAGCATCTCTGAATCACTTTTAGTTTACAGTTTAACAAGAATTTGTACCTCAAGTGATAAAAGTTTGAAAGCCTCCGGCACATTCTGCCAGGTTTAACATTTGAGAGTGACTGACATCAGTGTTATATGTTACCTTTTTTTTTATTAAAAAAAAAGGATATTAAATGTACTGTAAATGTGCCTGTTTGCTGTTTATATGCACTACCACTGTTATATGTCAGACAAAACAGTTTTTACATTTCTGCTTGATAAGTTAATTAAAAGATTAATGGATTATCAAAATGGTTGCTTTTTACTTTCTAAAATTAGCAGTGTAGCATCCTGTGCATTTAACAAAGATTAAAGGAAGATTATACAACACTGTGTACTTATAATTGAATACCGCTAAAATGCAGCTATACAGTATTTTAGCTGTACTCAGATAAGAATATTATTTTGGAAAATCTCCAAACTGATACAGGAAGAATGCTTGATTTTCAGTATTGGTGTAGTCACAGATGCCCCAGACTTAAATATATAAATCAATGGCAGGAATCGTGGAGTAATGTCTCTTTATAGCACCTAAAGTTTTAGGAATTGTATCCGTTTTATGTAAGAAATGTGGCACTTTTATTTTGGAAAATGAAATCTAAATGATACAGTAAAAATGTTTGATTTTCAGTATGTATGAGACGTCCTGAACTCAAATAGATCAGTCATTGTAAGCAATTGCGGAGTATTCTTTTTATAGCACCTGGAGTTTTGAGTTTCAAGGTAGATATGTGGGACTCTTACTTTGGAAAATATATCAGTCATTTTCAGATTTTTTCAGCATTTTAGTTAGTGTTTTTTTTAGCATGTTAGGTATTAATGATTTTAGCTATTTCAAGGTACAAATATTAGACTTTTACTTTGGAATATCTCCAATTTAATACAGTAAAAGTGCTTCATGTGCTGTATGTAGTTGCAGATGTCCTCAACTCAAATGTAGGCTCTCACTGTCAGGATTTTCTTTGTCCAGCAACCCAAAAATCAAAGAATAAAGACACTTCCCCTCACAATTTAGTGTTTTTTTTCTTTTTTAATTCATAAGGAGCACAATCAGCATGTTTAATACTTGTTGTGAATATAATCAAGAGAACCTCTGCACCAGTCAGGAGGGAGAGCAGATTAAACTGAAGCAGTAGACTGCCTACCTACAATACCCCAACAAAAGGGGAAAAGGGGATTGGCCAGATTGGTCAGGTTTAGGCAGTGATGTTGTGAACTCACCTCTTTTTCTGGCTGTTTACTTCCTCTTTTGTAATAACTCATCTATCTCACCTCATCAACTACCACTTTACATCTGGGTTTATGCATGAGGAGCGAGATTCAGACTAGAGTAGGCCGGGTCATACCATGCCTTGTCGCCTCCAGGACAGTAGGTGGCAGTGTGAGCTCGCTTTGAATGACAGATGTTGTTATCACGTAACGACTGATACGGAAGTAAACTGGGAACGCACGTCGGAGTTGTATGAAGTTTTAGCGGAGGAAAACGTGTTTTAAATTTCCTTCAGTAATGGCTTCAGTACAAAGTATGAGAGCGTTTGTGTGTGACAGACTCACCGCGGCTGCGCAGGAAATATTGGGAGCATTTGAGAAGAGGATAGAAAACTACGAGGTAGAAATCGCTCGTCAACGCAGACTTTTGGACGCCCTGTTGTCACCTGAGATAAAGTTACATCGGACAGGTAAGGAAAATATTTAAAAATATTCAATTTGTGTCAATCTGTGTTAACAGCTCAGAAGTATCTCTCAAATTACATCTTTATTTTTTGCTATGTGAAGCCCCACCTCACAGACAGACCAGTCAGACAGGTACAACGACAATGATCACGTGTTTTATTGAGAGAACAACTGATGCTGTGATGGGTTACTGTTGGGTGTCACATTTCACTCAGGAAGTTAGACTGTTGACGTTACTACGCTTTAATGTGGTTATTTTTTAACCACATACCCGAGCACGTGATGCCACATTATTTGCGGAAGTCGCATTCTCCAGGGAATAAGGCCATGCACAATAGTTAACCTTACAACTGCCTTTATCTGCAGCTGCAATGTGTCAACAAGAAGCCATGATGGACACTGCACTGACTCAAGCACTGTATTTTAATGCAGTTTCACATGTGCTTTACTAGAGTATGTATTTATGCTACTTATACTTTTACTCCACTGCAATGCAGAGGCTTGTAAAAGCTTATAGAAACTATATTATTTACTTGTTAAACTCTCTAGGATTGTAACTATGGCAAGTAAAATAACTGACAAGCCACAAAAACCGTTGACCCAACTGTTTACAAAAAAGGACAAGGAAGGAATAAAGGTGTATCTTGGCAGATACAGTAGCTCCCATCCTCTCTTTGGTCAGTTTGAGCTCTTGAGCCCCGGGAGGCGCTATAGAGTCTCTCTGGCACCTAAAAATTTATTTAAGAAGTCCTTAATGCCAAGTGCCATCAGTAGCCTTAACTCAACATAGTGAATGATCAGTTTTAAATCACAGACAGACAATGAGCTGATTGTAATGACTTTCTATGCTTGTCTTACTGATTATTTGTCTGCTTTTTACAATGTTGTCTTTTATGTTTGGTGAGCCAAAGACAAATTTCAACCCATGGTGGACAATAAAGATACGTATTTTATTCTATTATTCAACCACTGACACCAAGTTAACTGGTTTAATTCAGGCATTAAAGGTCGGTGTGTAAGATTCAGGGGGATTTAGTGGAATCTAGCGGTGAGGATTGCAGATTGCAACCAGCTGACACTTTTCATAGTTAAAATTACATCAGTGTTTATTGTTCAGGAGGTTTTTACTGGGAGGTGAATTATCCGCAGAGGTCCCTTTCTCTCCAAAACAAACGAGCATGGTGATAAAAATTGGTATAAACACTGAATAAAGCAGTTTTACTTTACAAATCAGTGTTTCCCCTACCCTGTGTGGCACATCGCACACACCCCGCTAACCTTACGCCTTCTACGTGTGCTCACCTCATTTCTGATCTAGACGTTCAGGAGGTTTTTACCATGAGCCGAATTATCTGCAGAGGTCTCTTCCTCTCCAAAAGAAACAGGCCTGGTGATTTAAACCACAAAAACACTGAATAAAGCAGTTTCATGGTACAAATCAATGTTTCTCCAATGCTATTCTGCATGTCGGACACAAGCTGCTAACCTAGCACCTGCTAACGTGTGCTCACCTTAGCTGATAACCAAAGATCAAGGTGTTCAGGAGGTTTATACCAGGAGCTGAATTATCCTCAAAAGTCTCTTCCTCTCCAAAACAAACCGACCTGGTTAATTTAACAATAAAAAACACTGAATGAAGCAGTTTCACTTAAAAAAAAAAAAAAATCTGTGTTTTTCCTGCGCTGCTTGTCACAGAGGGGCTGCTAACCACGCTGACCAACCCAAAAACATGAATGGCACTATTTTTAACCAGTGTTTGTTTGTCCTATCTGGGCTACTGTAGGAACATGGCAGTGCAACATGCCAATCTCAGTAATTGAGAACCTGCTCCCTATGTCAATATAAACGTCTCATTTTAAGGAAAACACAACAATTCTTATTATCACGTGATAAAGCAAACATACATTTTACATTATATATATTCCATTTTCTGCCAGTACATCCACCTAATTCCTACACACTGGTCCTTTAAGTTTCTTTTACATACTGATGAGGACTATTAATAGAGGCAAAGAGGAGCTACACTTTGTAAAGACTATGAATCTTTTACTACCACTAATAATTATTAAATATCTTCATTACTTATTGAATGAAAGCAGTAGGGCAACAATAATCATTTTGCCATTGATTATTCTGCCTACCACTTTTTTCCATTTTTCAGTAAATTGGTCTATAACATGTCAGACAATAGTGACATCTTCTGCTCATCTTTCTGACTATCAGACATTTTTACACAATGTTAACGCTTTGATTTTTTGTTTAACAACTTTTGTGGGGTGTGGAAGTTATTTCACCGCAAAAACGCCAAAGGGAGAGTGGGCAAAAAACAGGCATGCTTTAGAATATTTGCCTCATTACAAAAAACAGATATGACTATGACTATGACTAATATACATTAAGAGAACAATTAGTCAATTCAGCACAATTATTACAGCATCATCTGACCCAAATAACTGTGCACAATGAGGACTGTATATCATGATTACAGATTATGTATCTGCGGTACGATGAAGTACAGACACTGACATGTTATGCCTTAGACTTAAAATAGGATGCAAAAAATTATAACTTTAAAAAACCAAAGGTATAAACTGTGGTTATCAACGTGTTGCATTCTCAGTCCTTGGAAGGGGACTTCCTTAATTACAGCTATTAAATATGGGCTTGTATGTGTACACCATTTCATCATTGTCGTATTCCTGTGTCCTTCCGTTCAGGGCTCCCGCCAGATCCTCCCCCGATTAAAGAGGAACATGTGGAAATGTGCATCAGTCAGAAACGACAGCAGCTTCCACAGCAACAAGAGACTGAAGCTTCTAAGTTGACTCCAGCAGGTGAGGGAAGCGTTCACAGTGACCAGTCTCAACCTTTGGACACTGACCAGACTGTGAGTGCAGCGAGTAAAGATCCTCAATCCAGCAACTCAGACAAAGACGTATCACCTAAGTCTGAAAGGGAGAGTGCTGCAGTATCAGCATCAAGCACTGACCACCAACCTGCTTCTCAAAACTCGTGTGTTACATCTGAGAGCCAAGATCAGTTAACTTGTAACCGTGGAGGTACAACACCAGCTAGACTTCTAGAGTCAACACCAAATGAGAAAAGCAATGACGAGGACGCGACATCAGCCACAGTTACTGAGCAAACGTCCGATAAGAGAAGCAATGATGGGGACACATCAGCTACAAGTACTGGGGAGGAATCAAGTAAGACGTGTGCTGATGAGAACACAGTATCGACCAGTAATCCAGAGCAAACACAAAGTAAGAAACAGAACAATGAGAACTTAACATCAAGTGGAAATAGTGACCCTACGCTAACTGAGAAACAAAATCACGAGAACACGACGTCAATCAGAATCACTGAGACAACACCAGCAAACATTGGTGATGGGAGCACAAAATCAAACAGAGTTTCAGAGCCAACACCAAATAAGAAACCACATAGTGGAAAAACAACATCAGCTGCAAGTACCGAGCCAACACCACATGGGAAAGGTAACAGTGAGAACACAATGCCAAATGAGAAACCAACACCTAATAAGAAAAGCAAAGATGGGAGACCAACCTCACCTGGAAGTGTTGAGCCAACACCAAATAAATGCTACGATGAGACCCCAACATCAGCTCCAGGCGCAGAGGTGACACCAAATGAGAAATGTAATGATGACGAACCAACATCAAAAGTAAATAGTGACCCAACACCAAATAAGAAAAGCAAAGATGGGAGACCATCCTCACCTGTAAGTGCTGAGCCAACACCAAATACAGAATGTACCAATGAGAAGACAATATCAACTACAAGTGCGGAAACAGCGCCACATAAGCAATGTAACAACAAGGACACATCAAATGCAGATGCTGAGCCAACATCAAATAAGAAACGTAGCGATGGCAATAAAACATCAACCAAAAGTACTGAGCTGAAGGAGAATAAGAAACATCATGGTGACGGCACGACATCAACTAAAAGTACAGAACCAACACCAAATGAAAAATGTAATGATGATCAACCAACATCAACAGGAAATAGTGAGCCAACACCAAACGAGAGAAACAGAGATCGGGGACCAACCTCTCCTGGAAGCGTTCAGACAACAGCAAGTAAGAAATCGGCCAATGAGAAGACAGCGTCAGCTAAAACTGCTGATCCAACAGCAAATAGGAAACCCAGCGATGGGAAAGCAACATCGTCTTCAAGTACGAAACCAGCATCAACTAAGAAACACAGTGCTGGGAAAACAACTTCTGCTGGGAGTATCGAGCCAACGCCAAATAAGAATAGCACCAGTGAGGAGACAACATCAGCTAAACAGAAACCCAACGATGGGAAAATAACATCTACTACAAGCACTAAGCCAGCACCAAATAAGAAACAAATTGATGAGCATGCAACATCAAGCAGAAGCAATGTGTTGACACCAAATAAAAAAGCTAATAATAAGGATACATCTGCTAGAAGCAAGGAGTCAACATCACGGAAGAGTCAAAATGACGAGAGCACAACATCCCCTACAAGCACTGAACCAACACCAAATAGGAATTCTGACAGTGAGAAGACAGCATCCTCTAAAAGCAATAAGCCAAAACCAAATAAGAAAGTTAACGATGAGAAAGTAACATCAACCACAAGTACTAAGCCGACACCAAATAAGAAACGTAAGGAGGGGAGCACAAAGTCAAATGAAAGCACTGACCCAACACCAAGAAAGAGACGCAAGGATGACAGGACATCATCAACCAGAAGTTCAGAGGAAACACAGCACGAGAAGCGTCACGATGAGGGCACATCATCAAATGAAACACCAAATAAAAAACATGGGAACAAATCAGGCGGTAGCACCAAGGACGATGATAACCCTTACAAGTGTGACAGGTGCGGCAAAGTGATGAGTAATTTCAAAAACTACAAATTTCATATGAAATCCCACACAGTTGAGAAGACTTTCGAATGTGACACTTGTGGTAAAATGTTCAGAGAGAGTTGGGATTTAAATAAACATCTAGTAATTCACTCTGTTGAGAAGCCTTTCAAATGCAAGGTCTGCGGAAACGGTTTCAACCGGCGTTATAACCTCGACCTGCATGTCCGCGTTCACACCGGGGAAAAGCCGTTCAAATGCGACACCTGTGACAAAAGCTTCAGCTCGCTCGTGAATATGAAGAAGCACATGAGAATCCACACAGGCGAGAAGCCATACAGCTGCGGCGAGTGCGGGAAGGAGTTTGCGGACTCCTCGTCGTTCAAAAATCATCAGCGGGTGCATTCGGGGGAAAAGCCCTTTAAGTGCTCCCAGTGCAAGAGGAAATTTGCCACCAGGACGACTTTGACAAGGCACATCATAACACACACGGGTGAAAAGCCATACAAGTGCGATGTGTGTGACAAGGTGTTTGGTCATAGAACAGAACTGAAAGCACACATGAGGTTACATACCGGGGAGAAGCCTTACGAATGCAGTACGTGTGGAGAAAAGTTCTCCACATGGAACAAACTCCACAAGCACAAGAAAGTACACACGAGTGATACAGAAAGCTCCACTGCTTAAAAGACTGTCTGTGTTTGGTACACCAGACCTATGATATAATGAAATGAATTGCACTTATGTCGAATTGCTACTGGTATTTTGAGTTGTCATTGTATTTTAAGGAGTGCTCCACTGATTTAACAAGGCACTCCTGTAACATTGACTACATTTACATGCATGGAACATTATGGTTTTTGCCCTTACTCTTAACGTGCCCTAACGTGTAGTTCATCATATCGAAGTATGGAAAAATTGATTGCTCAAAGTTTTCCATTGATAGTGGAGTGGTTCGACAGTGCGAACGCAGCCTCCGTCATTCCCTCAGCCATCGTCTTGAAAAGGTCGGCATTGTGATATTTGCACATATCCAAAAACCTGCTGATATCCAAGTCTTTTAAAATGTTTAAAAGCAGATGTTTTTCTTCTCCCAACCAAAAATGTGGGCTTTTCTTTTGGGCATGCATCTCTACCCCACAGCCTTGCAAACTGCTGGTTAGCTGGTTAGTCTACAAAGCTTGTATGACAATGCACAGAGCCAACTGTGTCCAGGAATGCTCCTTAAATCAGAATAATACCAGCACGTTTCTTAATCGAAAAAACCAGTCGGAAAAAGGCCTTATTCAAACTAATGCTGTTTGTTTGCTGTTTCCATATTAAAGACAGAATATTGTCACTTTCATAATGATAGTAGAATATTAGTGTGCCTGTGAATGTAGTCACTGTTGGACTCATGGATTGATGGTTAAAAATTGTACAAATTGATGCATCAGAATCAGAAATATTGTCTTTTTATTTCATGCATTCTTCCTTGTCAAAATCTGGTGCCTACATTACCCACAATGCAACACGGTCATAGCACTTAGGTCAATCATTTTGGTGTCCTTTTAGCAGCAAATAATGTAGCCTGGAACTGCTAGCCTCAGTCAGAAATGAGGATTGGGCTACAGATGTTTGGTAAGCTCACGTCTTGCTAACTCCACACTTCCTGATTATGTTTCATTCATGTTTTTAGTAGTATTCAATTCCAACTAACGCTGAGACAATTTATCAAACTTCATGCAGCTCCCTCGTGAGCCACATAAGGCTTTAGCACTCCTCCTGGATTCAGTTGTTATTGGAGGTTTGTACTGTTCTTTACTTCAGGGACCTTCACCTGAAAAGATTTTGGTTGTTAGATACAATTAAGATTACAATTCTATGGTTGACTTGCCTGATGACAGACAGACTTGTAAATTGTAAATCATTAAACCGTGTTTCCAGGCAACTAGAAATGGGTGGAGTGGATGCATTCAAAGGTCTGGACCCACGCAAAAAGTTGTCAACAACCGTTGAAGGGATAACTGCACAGGAAGTGAAACTGATGATCAGAATAGTCACTCTTATAACTTATTATGACTTATGACTTACACACACTCCCTCAAGGAGCCCTTGGTGTCACTGGGCCCCTACTTGAGAACCACTGGTCTAAACCATGTACATGTACATTATGTCCCATGACCTGTTTTCAGACTTTGTACAGTTGATGTTCTTTTTTTTCTTTTCTTAGTTTTTACTTCATGGTATTGATTGTACATAAAATCATAATGCCAGTTCAATCCGTTAGCCAGCTCGTGTCAGACTTTGCTGAGAGTTTGTTGCTTCAGGTACTAGAGAGGTGATGAAAATACAATCCAGGAAGGATGATCTATGAGATTAAAGTCTTATCAGATGCTAAAATACTGCAAAGAGAGGTATCACAGAAACAATTACTTTATCAATAATCACGACATAAACAGTGGGCATGTACTGTTTTTACTACAAAGTATTGACCTGGAATGATCTTAAAAGTATTTGACTTACAAATGCAGCTTTTTGCTGGACAATCAACTCGTGTCTTAACCCAGAGCAGCGCTCCCTATTTTGTCTTCAAACCTTTGTTCTGTTTTGAGTTATTTTATTGAAACTAATGAGAAAGCTGCCTTTTGCACACAGTGCCAGTATCTGTCTTAATATGGTCTACTCACTGGTTTTGGGCCTCGTGATGGTGACTCAAAATAACTTTGAGATGCTTTAATTGAAGCAATTTTGTAAGCTGTTTTTGATAAATGTTTTTAGTGTATTTACCAAAAGTAGGAATGGTGGGAATCTCATGATCTTCCTGCCTCTCCCTAGAAGAATCTGTTGCCTGTCTCCAGAGGCAGTCTTGGATCTCGATTTCTGAGGATTGTTACACAGAGAATTTGTCAAACATCTGTAAATATCTAAACACTGGGATTTAGATGTTCATGTGCATCAAGATACTGAGAAGGACTCTTTCGGAGCAGACACACGGGCTGCCAACCTGAGAAGTCCTCCAGAGCTGAATCTTGGCCTTACATGACAGTTAAAGCACAAAAATGGTTGACATAATTAAAATCTGTTAAAACCAATTTGTCATTGTTTTAATCAGAGTTTATATTTTTGATTGTACTGAGCAAATGAGGGAGAGATTGCCTCTTTGTTGTCTTAATGCCTTAACCTCTATGTAATGAGCACAATTGTTATGTAAAACAGACAAAGTGAATGTATTGTTGATGTTTTACTTCATCACTTTAATAAAGTCATATCACTCTTTTTCCTAAAATGATGTCCTTGTAATATTGATGCTTGCAGTTGACATTTTGTGCAGCTGTTTGGCAGACACCAACTCCAACTCATATGTTGCAATAGCCTATAAACCTGCTTGTCGTGAAGTCATCTCTATAGTGAGGCACTTGTTACGGATCCGGATTGGGTAACTAAGACTTGCCGTCTCTCAGTTTTGGAAGGTTGTCTCTGATGAGTAGATTGATAAGCAAGAAATAACGCTGGCAGGAAATGAGTGGTTTCTGCTCAGATAAGCGTTGCACTAAAGACAGTTTGAGTGAGTTACAGCCAAATGAGTGAAGTTGTTATTCAGTGAAAATGTCTGCAGTTGAGAATTTGAGGGAGTTAATCAAAGAGCGACTGAATGTTGCTGTGGAGGAGATACTGGGAGTGTGTGAGCAGACTATTGTTGTGTACGAGGAGAGGGTCGTGCGTCAGCGCAGACTGCTGGATTTCCTCTTGAAGCCTCAGATAAGGCTGCACAGGACAGGTCAGTACGATTAATTTGCTACGTTGACATTATTCTAACTTGTAGGGTTGTGTGTATTTAAAAATTCAGATGCTGTTGCGGGTTCATCCTGCTATTTGTCTACTGTCTATATAAATAAGTTACTTGTGTGTGCATGTAGCCCTGCCAGGTAATTAACAATCTCAATGAATGTGCTTTAAAGCTGTTTAAGTCATTTTAATTGTCAATTAAACAAGTTCAAATAGTGGTGGAAGAAGTAGGTCTGCTCATATCTTTGGGTAAAAGTAGTGATACTTTGTAAAAATGGCAAATAAAAGTCCTACATTCAAGATCTTACTTGAGTAAAAGTGCAACAGTATACAGCAAAATGTATTTGTTGGGCATGTGGCTTTCAGAGAGTTGGAATATTATCCTATTATGTTTTTAGAATATTATTATCAAATGTTACAGCTGGTGAAGGTGGAGCATTGTTTAACTGCTTTTATATACTGTCGGACAGTATCATATTTAGTAAATTGCTCATATCTGTTGTTTGTAAAATCTTGATCTGAAAAGTAGAACTTTTGTAAAGTTGGAAAAGATCACTGGTGTTCCTTTCAATAACCTACAGTATCTGTATGAAGAGAGGGTCACCTCTAAAGCTTGGTCTATTGTGTCATGTTGTTTCAGATACTTCCATCGGGGCGGAGGTTTTGCCTCTGACAGTATTGTGTAACAATTCTTAAGATATCAGAAAAACTCATCTCTGATGCAATATTCACTGAAACTGCACCTTTTGCAACTTCCTGCGGTTACCGTGTTCACTATTTGGTTTAATTGCACAGTTTATCAGTTGTTCTGTACTCTTATTTATAAGAGCTCTTCTTGTTGTGAGGTGACAATGCTAACCACTGCACACCATGCCGCCGTTATTGTTATGTTAACGTTAATTTATTTTGCAGTCTATTCTGAAATTCAGTTCATCAATATCAGGACATGTAACTTAGTGACTCAAATAAAATATTATTTAAATATTTTGTAATTCTACTTACCGTTATGATACAGTGGTGCTGAGTTAGTGCAGGGCAGCGACTGTTTTTGATACCGAAGAATGACTATTGCTTTTTACATAATAGCAAAATGCACCTTCATGATCCACGCTGCACGGAAAAGCTGTCTTTATTGTTTTAAATTTAACTTCTTTTTTTCATTGTCATAAGGGAAAGCTGGAATAAAGTAGCTTTAAATCTAGAATGAGAAATAAATTAATAACAGTTGGACTGCTGCCCCCTCGGGCAAAAGAAAACTTGTAATTCCACTATTTATGACCCCAGCCCAATCATTTCTGCTCAGTCCCTAAAGGGTGAATTAAAGTATTGCAAAGCTCCGACTGACTGACTAAATTGTTAAACTCACTGCAGACTATTGCTCCTTTTATACTGTCCCAATACTTAAATACTAAGTCATACATCAAAAGCTACATTATTGTACAATTCTTAATGAAGCTACATGGGGGAGGGGATATTAATATTCCATGTTTTGTTTCTTCAGAGCTCCCAGTGCCATTTGTCTGTAAGAAGGAGGAGAAGGAAGTTCTTCTTGACCAGCAGCCCTGTAACCACGAGGGGAACCCAGAGCATCCACGGATTAAAGAGGAACAAGAGGAAGTCTGCACCAGTCAGGAGGGAGAGCAACTTGTAGCGAAGCAGAGGAATGCAGCAGAGGGTGATCCCCTTGACAAAATCCGTATTGAATGTGTGAGATCTGAATCTGACACAACTAATTCTGCAATATCACAACCAAACAGCGACTTTGAGTATCAAGACCAAGATCGCAGGACACAAAACCATGGAAACGCAACACCAACCGCACCAAAACCAAAGAAGAATCGTAGTGCAGAAAACACATCAATTACAAATATTGAGCCCAAACCAAAGAGCTCTGGGAGCACATCATCAACTACGAGTGCCAAGCCAAAACCGAGGAAGAAGTCTGGGTACACAACATCAGCTGCAAATACTGTAAAACCAAAAAAGAAGTCTGAGAACACGGCATCAATTACAGATTCTGTGAAACCAAAAGAAAAATCTACAACATTCACTGCAAATACTGATCCAAAACCAAAGGATAAACACATCATTGAGAAAACATCATCTGCTACAAATTCTATGAAACCAAAAGAGAAATCTAGGGACGTAACATCTACGACGAATCCTGAGCCAAAACCAAAGAAAAACCATGCAAACACATCATCTATAAGCACTGAGACAAAACCAAAGAAGTCCGATAACACAACATCAACTACAAATGCTGCAGAACCTAAAGAGAATTATGGGAACACAACTACAAATACTACGCCAAAACCAAACAAGAAACGTAATGCAGAGAAGACATCATCAACTACAAATTCTGAGCCAAAACCAAACAAGAAAAATAAGGATGAAGATCCAAGATCAGTTACAAGTATTGATCCAAAGCCAAAGGATAAATGTAGCAATGGCCAAACACAAACATCACAAGAGAGATGCAATGGGATCACAACATCAGCTGGTACCAATGACAACAAATCTCACGCGTGTGTGGAATGCGGAAACACCTTCTCTTTATTGAAAAATTTAAAAGTTCACATGAGAATCCACACTGGCGAAAGGCCTTTTAAATGCAGCTACTGTGAGAGGACCTTCATCCAGAAATCTACCTTGAAGCGACACACAAAAACTCACACTGGAGAGAAGCCCTTCCAATGCGACTCCTGTGGGAAGACGTTTGCCCAGATGAGAGCGGTTACCAAACACATGAGAACTCACACAGGTGAGAAGCCTTACGTTTGTCAAACCTGTGGGAAAAAATTCAGCTGCGGTGCTAATCTGAAGAAGCACACGAGGGTTCACACCGGCGAGAAACCCTACATATGCAGCGAGTGCGGGAAGGACTTTGCAGATTCCTCTGCATTTAAAAATCACACTCGCGTGCACACAGGGGAGAAACCTTATAAATGCCCTCGATGCAAGAAAAGGTTCACGCTCAGCACAACTTTGACAAAGCACATAAGAACCCACACGGGTGAAAAGCCATACAAGTGTGACACTTGTGGAAACTGTTTTTCTCAAAGAACAGACTTGAAAATACACATCAGGATCCATACAGGGGAGAGACCATACAAATGCAGCGTCTGTGGAAAAGGCTTCGTAAACAGCACAAAGCGGAATAATCACATGATTGTTCACAGGGATGTAGCATCCAGCAGCAGCATTTCTAAGATGTAACTGTGCCAACATGAAAAAGTTTATTTAAAGTTTGGAAAAAGTTTTCTCTGTGTGGTCTTGTTTCTAAGCATGACCGCATCTGAACCACACAAGTCTGATAAAGACACTCAAGCAATGACTGGGAAGTGATGACATTGCATCCTTTGTGGAAATGTAAATACCAACTCTGAGACACATCTGTTGTTGGACCCAGAGTCAGCTGCTGACTTGGGTGTGGATAGATTACTGAGGGGGCCTACTGGGAACAGGACCAGAGACAAAGACATGAAAAAACAACCACAAAGAGACACAAAAAGACCATAAAGAGACACAAAATGACCACAAAGAGATGACAAATGACCACAAAGAGATGAAAAAGACCACAAAGAGACACATAATGACCACAAAGACTTGCAAAACAAAAACAAGGAGAAATAAAAAAAAACACAAAGAGACACAATATGGCGACAAGGAGACACAAAAAGACCACAAAGAGATGCAAAACAACCACAAAGAGACACAAAATGACCACAAAGAGACACAATATGATGACAAGGAGACACAAAAAGACCACAAAGAGATGAAAAACAACAACAAAGAGACACTAAATAATGACAAGGAGACACGAAGACCACAAAGACATTCAAGACAACCACAAAGACATGCAAGACGACCACAAAGAGACACAAAAGACCACAAAGACATGCAAGACGACCACAAAGAGACACAAAATACCACAAAGACATGCAAAACAACCACAAAGAGACACAAAATGACTACAAAGAGACAAAAAGACCACAAAAAGACAAAAAACCACAAAGACATGCAAAACAACCACAAAGAGAAATAAGACCACAAAAAGATGTACTGTATAATGATTACAAAGAGACACAAAACAAAAACTGGACATTCTACATGTGCACCTTAAATTTGCATGTAGGTGAGACGTAGGGTGGGGGATACTCTGTAGAAGTCTTGTAGGGGGCGCTATTAAGCCCTTTTTTTATGCTGTAGCCCAACACCCATAAAATATTACAATTTTTCAGCAGTGCTGGTATTTCTGAAAAGTTTCATGAGTTTTCAAGCACCTTTAGCACCTCAAAAATGTGATTCATCTGAGAATGTAATAAGAATAATTCTGATCGTTGTACTCCTGTGTGGGAGGATTGGTGGGGCCTTTTAATCTGTGCCCAGGGGCCCAATGTCCTATAATCCACCCATGGTCTCAGATACACATTTCAAAAACTACCTGTCTCAACAGGTTATGATAAATGCTTCAATTGCTGATTGAAAAACCTTGTAGGAGAATGTAATCACTTATGGTCCCATTCTGCCATCATGTGGTCCTTCATATACTCGCACCATCGAATATCAGTATTGTCAAGCAGCCATACCGTGTGTGGTGTTTGTGTGTTAATGTTCATACTGTACATGTTTATGCTGTCCATTTCTGCGTGTAATGCTGCTGTCAGCTACCCCTGTGCACTATTTTAATTGATATATATTTTGAATACATTTCTTGTAAAGGCTGAATTTTTTTTTTTGCCGTGGTACAATTTCTTTTTATGCAGCTGAACATGTATTTGTCTCTACCTCACTTAAACTGTGATATATGACTCTTCAAAGGCAGCTACTCATGTAAAGCTTGTTAAATAATCTCCCTTTAAGAATAACTGACTGACTGCTCATCTGTCTCATTTTGTTACAGAGAAACCTTCCGGTATTGAATTAATTATAACACAATACTTCCATCTAGAGGGCATTTTTGTACTCGACCATCAAAGTTATATATTTTTGTAGGCTATGTATATTTTTATACATACTTTTCTGTCTCCTATGTCCTCCTCCAAATGAAAAAGTCAGCCTTCTGATGCTGTAAATAAACATTCAGTGTTAACTTAGATTATTTTGTAAAATGTATTTTATGGCATTTATTAGGCTCTGATCTTGAAATAGCCCTCTATTGTCAGTGTTGGGAAGGTTACTTTTCAAATGTAACACAGTACTAATTACATTGTTAAAGATGTGATGTAACAATTTTAATTACTTCGTCAAAGTAATGTAACTTTTCTACATGTGATTATTTTTTTTGATGTCTTTTCCAACAAATGTTTTAAGCAATAAAGTGTCTTGAACATCTTAAAACCACATATTTACACCTGAATTTGTTGTATGGCTTTGCTGACTCGCACTGTATGGAAATATGTCAAAAGAAGGCAGAGGACGATACAAGGCAACAGAATGAAAGTTATATTCAATGTATAGGATGCAGAGGAGACACCTGCACACCAATGCAGCTGAGCTGGACAGACACAAAAAAGGTTCAAAGGCTTATTTATTTAGGACATCCGTGCACAAAAATAAGGGTACTCAAAGTGCAAAAAATAATAAAATGTGAATGAAAACAGCAGCAAAGGTTTTAGTCCTTTACTATCATAAGTGCTCCTTTCTTGGTTGTCCATTGTACCCACGCAAGATAAAGGTTTTTGTTGCCCTATGTAGGTGCAGTTTCTCAGCAGCCCTAAGATATTGTACCATATTAAACATATAGGCCTATGGCTTTTTTTTTTTTTACAGAAAATAATATATTCTGATGTAACCCCTTTGTAATCACCAACATTTTGATTTGTAACTGCATTTAATTCCATTTTTTTTTCTCAGTAACTATAACAGTTTACAGCCTTATTTTGGAAATCTACTATTAGACCAAGTTTACAAGCCTGGCTTTCTGGACTGTCACTCTGTCTCCCTTGAAAAACCTTTATGATTAAGGGTAAATACTCTACTAGGCTACAGAGGCCTACTAGTCTTAACTTCTTGAATGCAGCATAATTATGTACATTTTCTTTACTCTTTCTTTCCCATAGACTGTCAATACTTGTGTAGGTAGCATTTCTGATTACTTATTTTGAACCTTGGAATAGTACTCATTGTATTGCCCTGTCGTAGCAGTTGATATTAAGGCGATGCCTTACTGTGAATGTTCTGTTTCGTATCCCTTGTTTTTTTTTGTTTAAGTATATTAAAATCCAATAAACACAGTTGTTTAAAAATAAAGTAACAGTCTACAGGTACATTTACACATGTAAATATTTGCTCCCCAACACTGGGTGTTCCAGACACAATGCTTTGTCCTGTGGTTGAAACCAAGTGAGGGGGCTCATTGATACCACTTAACCAAATATAGTATGTTTCCATTATGTTTTTATGGAGGGGGATTTGAACCCCCTCTGTTTACTATTTCCCTTGTGTGCACACTCACTCATGCTTTATCCATCTCTCCATCCCCTTCTCTTCTGTTATATATACACAAAACCACTTCACTCATTGCAAAATATTATTTCAGTGCAGAGTTGCCATCAGATATCAAAAAGAATTGTATATGCATGCATAATGTTGTAGCTTTATGGGGTATACAAACTGATAACAAGATTAAAATGGAAGAAAAATTGCAGAAACTGCCTCTGACTGTCAGACCACCCACCTGCGTCTCTGTACTGTATATTCATCATCCTGTGTAGCAGTGGTTAATCAGTAGGTCGCGGATACAGAGCTGCAGTGGCTCCAGTGTCATTTTGGACCATTAGCAGCTCACAGGTGGGTTCATAAATCATCTAGATTGTGTTTGCACAGCTGGTCGCAGCCCTCCGCTCTCCTCACCCCAACATCCGCCACTGTATCAGTTTCAAACAGGCAAATATTTGTAATCACGTTGGATGACTTGTTGCTTTGTTTCATTGTGTGATTGATGGGAGAAGTGTGGGTCGGCCTTTGGGGGGCGTCTGAAAAACAGGAATAGGAGTCCCAAACTACTGTACGTTAAACTGCATTCTTCTCTCATTCTTTAACTACCATGCATTTATTTACCAAGGAAAAATGACCTTTATGATTAGCTCGCCTCCATTTAAAATACAGTGATGTTCATGCATCCTGAAGGACTCTTTTCCCCTCTTGCAGACTTTGTATGAGAAACCACCAGGGGCGTAAATACAGACAATGCAGGCAGGGTGGTTGCACTGGGGCCCATAGAGAGAGTGGGCCTTCCAATTATATGTGTGGCAGAAAACAGGCCCTTGTGAGTAATTTGGATTGCTACCTTAGAAATATGTCTGTGTTCAAAGAAAAACTCCATCTGCCATTTGCTATATGTGCCTTTGAAAAGAAAACACCATCTCCATTGTGTTTTTCTTTTCTGTTTTTTTTTGTAAAATATCCAGTAATATATCCCTACACTCCATAAACTATACATACACTGTAAAAAACTTCACAAATAAATGAATAATCCCTTATTTTTGTTGGTATTTTTGTCATGAGCAATGGTGATTTGTCAGTAATATGTATGTTGGTGTTATCCAGTGTCAAGTCTCTATTTGATCATGTGATAAGATTATACAGTGGCTAGTGTAGGCATAACTCATAACTAGTGTACCATCATAACAGTGTGCACTGGGGCCCGTTGTAATGACCTTACGCCACTGGATACCACAGTGTAAAGTCCAACACCACTAGGACGAGCAACAGTGTCTGAGGACTGCTGAACACGTGACCAACACACATAAAAGGTTTACATTTATAAGTCACTTTATGTGATTTTTTTATCACACGAGGTAATGGGTGATTTTTTTTTTTACTGTTTCTCTTTATTTTTGTCACACTTACTTGGCACCAAAAGAAACGTACAATACAATAACAATATACACACATGATCGATTATAGATGGATTTTTTTTTTTTTAATATAAAAAGTGGCCTTCTATTTGTGGTGTTCATTATAATTTTTTGGCCTTGTGCAAGATTTTGAACACTCAACACTGCTTAATTTCTAATTGAATATTGATCATTTTGCTACGTAAGCTACGAACTATCTTAAGCTATGAACTATCTTGGACAATGTCTCACACCCACTCCACCATGTGCTGGTCAGGCACAAGAGTACTTTCAGTGGGAGGCTCATACCACCAAGATGTACCACTGAGCGCCACAGGAAATCATTCCTGCCTGTGGCCATCAAACTGTACAACTCCTCCCTCTGAGTGGCCCTGAGACTTTTTCACACACACTGCAATAATCAAATGTAACTTGTACAATAACCCCATTCACCCTGACTGTATATATTCTGTTTGTGTAAATAATCTTGTTCAGTTTACAATATATATATATATGTATATATATAAATATTTATTTACGTTTATGTTTGTTAATAATTCCTGTTTATTTAACTATATATTTGTAAATACTATTGTTTAAATTTCTTATATTTTCACATATCTTTTCTTTCTTGCAAGGAGCACCTGTAACATAAATAATTTCCTCTCGGGGATCACTAAAGTATTTCTGATTCTGATTCTGATTTTCATTCTGATTTTGTCATAAGGATTGCTGTACATCTATTATACTGATCTGTTCTGTATACACATCTATTGCACTTCTCTCTGTCCTGGAAGAGGGATCCCTTCTCAGTTGCACTGCCTGAGGTTTCTACCATTTTTTCCCTGTTAAAGTTTTTTTTGGGGGGAGTTTTTCCTTTTCCACTGTGAGGGTCCAAGGCCAGAGGGATGTCATATGCTGTAAAGCCCTGTGAGGCAAATTGTGATTTGTGTTATTGGGCTTTATAATAAAATTGAATTGAAGTGAACTGAATCTACAGCAGTAATATTAGCTTCATACCCATTTTAATGAATTGTATAAATGTGTTAGATTTTCTTAAATTTTCCCGGCAAAATGCACCATAGTTGAAGAATGACCCATATCTTGTTTTATCTTTTTACTTTGCCTTACCCACTTTATCTAAATTCTAACTCTGATTGATTGTACTCCTGTCTCAGCCACCCATAAGTTACACTTCATATTTTTGTCTTAAAGATTTGATGTTTTATTGTTTTTTTGTACTTGTTCTGAAAGAGAAATAACAAAATGGACTTCAACATTTAATATTCAACATTCAGCTTTTATTAAAATGTACAGAGCACCATTAGCTGTTACCCAGGTGGAGCAGGAGCTGGCACTGATGACACATGACAAACTCGAGTCACTGCAACGTAAATCCAACGCACCCTTTCACCTTTGCATGGCGGACCACTTGAGCTTTCAGTGGCGCTGCTCCCATCGCTGCTGTGTTGCACGTTTGCAAACTTTGTTGTGCTACAAACAAGTCGCAGTAAGTTGCACTTTATTAGCCTTCAAACAGTCCTGTGTGTTATGGAAGGATCTGTGGGGAAATAACGCATTTGCATCGTGTGTCCTGCTCTGTTTGTTAGCTCTGCATCGTGTCTTCACCTGCACAGGTGCACTGAAAGCCTTGGACCTCCTGTTGAGATGCGGCTGCTTTACTCCACCAAGGTAAGACTTTGCTTCTCTTGTGTTGATGTGCAAATTGTGAGTTTGTCTTGGCTCTGCTCAGTCAGCCTTTGTAGCATGACAGTGTTTGTAAGCTGTGAGGCTGTTGATGCTGTTGGCTGTTGTGATGCTGTGTGAAGATTTGTGTTCAGTGTCTGCTGCTTTTATGCTGCTGCCTGTGTGCTGCATTGTCTTTATCTGTGCTGAGTTTATCTTGTGGCTACAATTGTTTTTACTGTGGTTGTTGTTTGGCAAAGTTTGATGCTTTCCTGGTATTGGTTTGTTGTTTGATGGCTGTTGGAGTTTGGCTTTGTTTTGGTGTTATTTACTGTCTGTCCCAGCAAACCTCTGTCTCCATACTCATTTAGGTCTCCACTTTTGGTTTTATGAATGTGAATTTTTACTGCACATAATTTATTCCTTGCAATATTGTCCTTAAGGGACACTGAACGTGAAATTCAGTCTAGCACACAATGGATGATTAGACACATTTACACTGTGTGAAGTCAACACACTCATATATTAACTGATACTCTAAGCATCAGAAAAATATTTCAACGCTGATCTTCTGCTCTATGGTTAACACATTCAGACACTCTTATGTATATATTCATGTACTGATTTTCATCTGCAGCTTACCATGCTACAAGACTATACATTGGAAGACATTACCTGCTACAAGCTATGGTTTCATGTGAGTTTAAATGTGCGTTTATAATAATTTGCTGCATACAGGATGTATTTTGGCCTGCTGCTGTGCATTTACCTTAAAATGTTTTGCTTTGTGTCTTAGTTTTTATTGGGGGAGATTATTATCTCTGATTATCTGATGCTCTCATCTAGTTTTTTGCTTGTGGTGAAGTCAGAGTCTTTGGTTGGCAAATAACATCTCTGCACATATTCTGTCTTAACATCATAAATTCATTCTACATGAGCTGGCATACTAAACTGTAACATAATGGAAGCATCTGTGTGTCACCCAAAGGTACCTAAAGTAATGTTTAAAGCTATATTTGGGTTTCTGGCCTGCAGCCATCTTGGCAGTAACTGGAGCCGTATTTGCAGATTAGAGGTGACAGCAGTGATAGGCTGAGATGATTTTTGCACAGTTTTGGATGAAGTGAAGTCAGGGTTTAAAAACATACGGTGTTGTGATAAAGAATCATCAAGTTGATATTTTATTACTACTATTTTAGAGAACTTTGAGCGCTTGAGTGAGAGGAGTTGTAGAGCCAGCCGTCATTAGTAGTTTTGCATCTTTGCTTTTGGTCCATGATAGTGTCGGCCACATTACTTGCCAAATTGCTAAATTGCAGTCATTTTTTTCCTCCATATCTTTTTTTTATATATATATTTTTTAAGCTTGTCTTCACTCATTTTTGTGCCTTTGACAGAGCATGCATGAACAGATGGTTTGGGAGTAATATATAATTATTTTTCTAGTAACAAATGTAGAAAGAAAAACATACTCTGTATTTTCTCCTCTCTTGTTCTTGTTATTGGTGTTATAGTTTACCTCTTTTAAAAGTTTGTTGCTTTAACTTATCATTGTGAGGTAAATGGCTATAGAATAATGACACCATCTGCATTTAGACTGGTTCCTTTTAAGCTTTGCCTCCACTGTATCTTCCACCGTGTACGATCTCTCGAGAAAATGAAAGCTCGATATTCGGCACAGAGGAAGTGCGTCTGCTAATGTGCATCCAAAACAGGAAGAGGATAGTACTTTACTTTTCCCCAGTGACTATCAGTTGCTTGACTCCATGTAGGTTCTGTGCTATCACAAATGACAGACATTGGACAAACCAAAGTAAGTGTGGAAAACAAAATACTGTCCCGTGTTGCTGGTAGTTGCAGGGCTCTGAGGAAAATGAAAAGCGACCCTACTGTCTTTGCCATAATACCACTAATACCACTTGGACACTAGGGGTGGAAAGTTGCCTTTTCCCACTTTAATTACGCCGTGAGATGGAAACAAAAAGTAGCAACATCATTAGGCATTACAAAGATGCCAGATATTATTTGCTGACTATTATTAATTTGCTGACTCAGTGCTAGAAAGCTGCAAACGCTTCGCAGTAATCACACTAAGGATCTAACCAGTTGGAGTCTGACTGTCTGGTTCCACAGTGATGACTGATATGAAAAGCTTGAGTTATAATCCCTTACGGCTGACAGTTTCAGTTAGGGTAGAGTAATGTGGAGAGAATCAAATATCACACATTTTGGACCAAATATGTTGATATTGCAACAATATTAGAGGGTTAACAATTTATCATCAGTAATACAGATGACTAAGTGGGTAAAGGCAAATAATAGAAGAGCTTTAACAGCCTGGTCAGCTCAGAAAATTACACCACTTTACTATAATGCAGCCTTAAAAACCAGACAGAAACCAGACAACACCTACAATATCCAAAATCTAAGATGACATGTAGTCTCATATCACAATATTGATATAATATCGATATATTGCCCTAATTTTGAGCCTGAAACACAGCAACTGAGCCTTAATTTTTCTGCAGCATAGAGAAAATGCTTCAGTTTAGTCAGAACTCAGTGGCATTTTCTGTAACAGATGTTTTTGAAACAAGCCAAACAAATACAAAACTGAATGAAAGTTTATTTACATATTTGCACAATAATAGGAAAATACAAAATATATACAATAGAAGTCATTTCATTCCCCGAAAGGCTTACTCGAAGCCCTTCTTTATTTAAATAATAATAAATGAATAAATACCTTTTGATAGTAATAATAAAATATAATAATTATTTTTATTGTTGTTACATCATTTATTGAGACAAAACGAAATAAGCAACAAACAGAACAGCATAGCACAAGAAATATCTATTTACACACAAGAAAACAAACCATAGTAAAAAAAAAATATAAATAAATAAAAAGAATAAAAATAAACCTAAAAAGAAGTTAATAATAACCAGTGGGAGAAGCAGAACCCAAAAGATTCAAGATGAAATGAGAATTTTTTTTAGTGTGACCTAAAAGCTGGCCTGGAAGATAATGCTTTAAGGGACTTATTCAATGAATTCCATAACTGTGGATCTCTACATATGAAAAAAAAAAACATCAAAAACTTTTGCGTAGTTGAATGAAGGTGAATGTCTGATAAAATTCTTGAACCTGATTTCTTTTACTCTTTTTATTTTTCTATGTTATTTTAATCTCTAATGCTTTTAAATTATTTATTTTTTAAATCTTTATGCGTTTTATTATTATTACATTTCTAAATCTTAATTTATTTATTTATTAATTTATTATTAATATTATTTTAATCTTTAAATCTTTATTTTTTCCCTAAATCCTTAAAATTTTATGCATTTTATCATTATTGTATCTCATACTTGTTTTATCTTATCATATTGCCTTTTAGTCTTTTAGTTTTTAGCTCCAGTGTTTCCTCATGGGGGGCCTCCACACTGGGAGGTGTGTCCGGTCTGCCCGCGGGGACGTCGACTGGAGATCCCTCAGGTCCGGAGGACTGGGGGGCTCTGCACCATGTGTGGAGTCTACCCCGGTCTGTCTGGGTCGGGGTGGTCTCTGTGGCGGCGCTCGCTGTGGCCGTAGGCTGTGGCACCTCTCAGTGTGGATGAGCTCCCCATAGGTGGTTCTTTCCTCACCTGGTGTGTGTGTGTGTGTGTGGGAGGGGCAGGTTTTCAATATGTATGTAGTATTTTTGTTGTATGTTTTTATTTTGTGAAGCACTTTGTGCTGCATTTTCAATGTACTATGAAAAGTGCTATACAAATAAAGTCTGATTTGATTTGATTAAAATGAAAAAAAAATATATATATATAAAATGTATCAGGAAGATCTTGCCATTCATGTATTTAAAACATGTAACATTTAAAACATGTAAAACATTTACCTTGTAGACAGCGATGAATAAATGTGATGTGAATGTAATCATAGAGGTCTGTGGATTCCTGGATTCATCCCCTAATTCTCAGGAATCGTAACAGGTCAGAAAACCTGACTCCTTGGCCTCAACATTAGTCTCTCTGTCTTATTTCTCATTAAGCTCAGCAGGGTGGAGCAGCCCGTCACTGCCTTTATTTCCTGGCTGACATTTTGCTTTTCAGCAAATCATTTTTTGCAGTTAACACTGTGGAAATTGGATTGGACAGCGGTCAGGACTGGAAGCCGAGTTGTTCTCTCATGCTGGTGCCAGCAGAGCTCTGTTAAACACCATAGGAATAAACTCACACAAACACTCACACACCCACACCCGTACACACACACATACACATGTGCTCACACACACACACACACACACACTGCAGAGCTTCAGTTTCATAAAAGAGGTCAGTTTCAGTGGGAATTTCCCTCTCTACATCATACTTTCCAACAAGGCTAGTGGGTCAAAAATGGACACATAAAAAGATAAAAAGGATTCTGTATATTTAACCAAATTACATAAAAGCTTAAATGGATTTGTGATGAAACCCCGAGCTCAAAAACCATGTCTGTGGAATCCATCATGGTTTTCACAAGCTTTCCCTGGCGATTAGTATTGGCTGGAGCGTTGGCGTGCACTGCAAATCAAATCCATATTCATTCTGGCCCGACACGCTTGTGTGCTCACCCAAAGTGTCTCAGTCGCTAACCCCGTGATTTTTAAACATTTATCTCACCACAGTGGCCAAATCAAAGGCTTGGGAAAAGGGAACAAATTAACAGAAAGGTATTTAGCTTTTCTAAGAGACCTAATTTTGAAAACCGCAGTATTCATAAAGCCACAGCACATAATTATGTTTTTATAGCTGTATAAACTATAATGTTACCTTGTAATTTCATGGTTACGAACGTAGCAATTTCGAGACCCCAGTTTTGCTTTGGGTTTGTTTGTTTGCGTTTTTGCGTAAGAAGTTATGCTTGTTTTTAAAAAACGGCTCTAATTTTCACAGGATGTGGGATTTTTTTTTGTAGAAAAATCTGAAAAGCACATGAATCTGGAGCGACAGGTGTGCAGTGAATGCTG